GTGTGTGTGTGTGTGTGTGTGTGTGTGCATGTAGGAATCCTGGAAAGCCAGAAGAAAGCATTAGATTCCCTGGGACTAGAGTTACAGATGGTCATGAGCTGCCATGTGGGTTCTGGGAACTAAACATGAGTCCTCTGTAAGAACAGCTAGTGCTCTTAACTGCTAAGCCATCTTTCCAGCCCCTATAATGTGTTCTTTGATTCAAATAGTGTAATGCCTGCTATGAATCAGGAATTTTTCTAGCTCTTTATTCTAGACATTGAGAGAGGACATAAAAAATGTGCTATTTACATTAGGGTAAATGATGCACAGAAAATAGAGGAAGGGGCTCCATTCTGATTGGGAGGGGTCACCACAGCAGAGCACTGTCTGCAGCAAAGTGGAAAAATCTGGACAGAAAATGAGAGGAACAAAGGACCAACAAGAAGGCATCATGACCGGAGACTGAGAGGTAGGAACAGCAAGCATCAGAAAAGAGAGAGGACCTTGTTGGGTATGGGAGGGGTCCTGGGCATTCCCACTGGAGGTTTAAGACAAGGTGTTCACTTTGTTTACACTCTGGCTTCTGGGTTCTGGCTAGTCTTCTGTGAGTTGCCGGAAGAGACTGGAGGAGACAAGAGCTGAAGCAGAAATTTGAACACCGTTTATAATTCTACAATGGAACTTGACAGTTAATGGAGTTCTGGTAGTCATGCGTACTGCAAAGGTGGTATAAGATTGTTCATATATATAACCTAATATATATGTTTATACATTTATACATGTTAGTGTCTTATGTGGGAAGGGTTTTAAGTAAAATGACTAAAATTGGTGAATTCTCTGGCTTTCAACTTTTGTGGTTATAGTCTTATGAAAACACTCTCCTCAGTCCCATTATCTTCGAAAGGAGGCAGCTTTGAAAATAAGCCAGCTGATCAACAGCCTTAGACACACAGTATGTCCTAGTCACTAGGACATACCAACATAGACTCCCAAACTGTAGATTTCCAAACTGAGAAAGCTTAGTTCTTTTGTTTTGTTTTTCTTTAACACAAGAGTTCATTCAAACAAACCTTTTATTCTATATGCAATTATGAAAAATAAATAACGAGCCGGGCCTGGTGGCATAGACCTGCAATAGTAGCTATGCATCAGGAGGATCACAGGTTCTAGGCCAGCCTGGGCAACTTAGTAAGACCCCCCCCCCACCTCAAAATGAAAAGTAAGTATGAGGGCTGAGGCAGAGCTCAGTAGTATAGTACTTACCTAGTGTGCACAAGGCCTCAGGTCCAATCTCCAGAATTAAGAAGGAAAGAAAAAAATACAATAATAGTTTAGTTAGGAGAATCATGTAAAACTCACAAGCCTAGCCATCTTGTAGGATAGACTGAATTGGTAATTTTAGGTGCATTTATCAATTTATAAATTTATTGATAAATTTATAATTTATCAATGTAGAATTAGTGTTATAATAGTTTTCAGATTAATTTCTTTTTAATCGCAAATTTATTATTTTTTTATTTAAAATTTTTTTTATTCATTTTACATACCAACCACAGATCCATCCCCCTCTCATCCTCCTCCAGCTCCCCACCCCCAGCCTCCCCCCCACCCCCATCCCCTCCTCCAAAAGGGTAAGGCCTACCATGGGGAATCAGAAAGCTAGGTACATTCACTTGAGGCAGGACCAAGCCCCTCCCTGCTGCATCAAGGCTGCACAAGGTGTCTTGCCATAGGTAATGGGCTCCAAAAAGCCAGCTCATGAACCAGGGATGGATCCTGGAAGAGTAATGAAAAGCTATCTTGATAGAGGGAGACATCTTAGGGATAGGGAGAAGCCTGGTGCAGGGAAATTCACAGGAATCCACGAGGACGACCCCAGCTTAGACTGCTAGCAATAGTGGTGAGGGTGCCTGAACTAGTCTACCCCAGTAATCAGATTGGTGACTACCCTAACTGTCACCATAGAGCCTTCATCCAGTGACTGATGGAAGCAGATTGCCAAATGTCAAGCAGAGGAGAGGCCTATCCAACAAATCCCCTTCAGGGAGATCCCTGTAAAACTGTAGATATCTGCCCACTTAAAAACTGAGCTTTCTTTTGAGGTGCTAAAAATGAAAATACCTAGGTTGATTCTTCTCAGTTTTAGACTTCCATATTCTAGATACAAAATAACAACAAACAACAACAAAAACTATCCCCCCCCCCCATGACTTTTTCTTGTATTAGCTGAAGGTCATTTTTTATTCAAACTAAATACGTCTGTGCTGGCCACTGTGGCCTCATAGTGGCTGTTCCTCACCACTGGAATAAAGGAAAGTTGGTTACTGCTCAAGACAAATGTTCCAAGTGGCTTCAGTTCACACTATACCCCGGTGTCTGGGTATGACTTCCACCTTGCCCCTGATGAAAGAGTTCATCCGATTCAGACAGTTACTTATTCCCAGGCCCTGATGAGGTAGAAGGTGGGATTCGGGCTTATTAAAATGCATCCATGTACAGATTTCACTCTGTGTAATCAGAGGATTGATTTCAGGCCCCCTGTAGATACTAAGATCTGTTAGTACTCAGGTCCTTTATATAAAATGCTGTTGATTTTGCATATAAACAACATTTTAAAGTATCCTTTAAATCAGCTCTAAATTGCTTTTTGCAGGTAGAACACAGCTAATCTGAAACTCTGAACTCTGGAAAACGTTAAACTTCTTTGCTGACAGTGATGTCGCATGACCCTTCCTTTCCATATCCAGCTACATACGGGGAGCTGTGCCTGGTGCAAAATTATTTTTAAAGCCTGTATAAAATCACCTTTGGGTTCTGTGTATAAGGTGCTTATAAACATAATTGAACATCATGTGTAAGGGCTGAGTCTCTGTACTGTGTTGCCTAGACTGAATCTCATGTTTGGATTCAGGTCTCACATCCAAGATGCCTCTTTTTCTATGTGAAAACATTCCTGCATTTGTTAAAGGTTTCAGGCCTGAAGGCTTTAGATAATGGACACTCACCCTGTAAAATCCAATATGGTGCAGACAGTGGCTAATATTATATTGTTCAGGGAATAAGGAAGGGGTCTGCACTTGTTTAGTAATGATGCAGTTTTCTCTCTCCTCTCTGTTTGTTTGAGACAGGGTCTCTATGAGTCCTGGCTATCCTGGAATTCACTGGATAGACCAGGCTGGCTTCAAAAGATCTTTCTCCTTCTGCCTCCCCAGTGTTGGGATTAAAGGTGGGTGCCCCACACCTGGCCAGTTTCTCTAATAGTTTCAGCCCACAGTTGGTAGAATCATGGATGAAGGGGGCTCCCCAAGACAATTTATCATACCTCTTTTCATCCAAATAGCAGAGAGGCACAGGACTCTTTCTGTGTACTCTGATGACCTAAACCAGACCCCCAGAGCAGAATGCAACAGTAGCGCCGGGCACCCTGAGGGTTTGCTGGGAGAGAGACCACCTGCAGTGGTGGGTGTCAAAAAGCTCCTCCGTGTTGTGTTCAAGCCAGACGTGTCACCAAAATCAGGTTTCTAAGCACTAGAAAAGCCTAGACACAGTAACAAGAGAAGGACCTTGTCGCAATAGCTTTCTGGAAAATGCTGAACCAGGCAGGGCTTGCCAGCAGCCACCAGAAACTTCTTCACTGCCTCAGTTTCTCAGCTGAGGAAATGGGGCCAACGTGTTCAATCGCAGTACAAAAAAACAGAGCGACTCCCAAATCCGTAATTAAAGAAACCGCCCTAAGAGCGCTGTCCATAAAAGCACAGGCATCCGGCAACCACATTTTACGGGACAAGCGCAGGCATCTGTAGGACGCAAAGCCCGCTGGCCCACCTCAGGCGTCCCAGCACAGCCTCTCTCTGCCCATGCGTAGTGGAGCCTTGCAAGGCAGCCTGAGGCGTGAGTGGCGGGCCTGGGGTGTCCACGTCACTCTGCCCAGCGCTCCCCCAGCCCCGGGCGGGCGCTCTCTGCGCCACGCTCCGCCCCCCGCAGCGCTAGGAGCCCGCCAAGCTGCAGAGCACTAGACGCCATGGCCGACCCGTTGAGCAGTGGGAAGCCAGGCCGGAGGCCAGGGCAGGTAGGAGCTGTCGGGAGGTGGCCGTGAGCATCACCCTAGCCTGGCCCCTCAGGCCCAGCCCGACAAGAGTGCACCCAGGAGGCTCCATCCAGGGCCCGGAGCTGGGCTCCGGTGTGGGGCTGTTCCTTGAGGCAAGCAAGCCACCAGGCCAGACTTCGAACCCCCTGACCCTGGAGCCCGGAGCAGAGCCTCGGGCCAGTCTTGGAATTGGGAGACCGGGTTTGAGCTTCCCTGCAGGAAAGGTTTGGGCCCGAGGGGCGCGCATTTATCTGCCCGCGTTTCCGGAGCCCTTGTCCTTCCTCGCACTGTTCGCCTTTCGAAGATGGCGACCCAAGGTGGCCCTGCTCAAACAAAGCCTGCTTGCCAGTGTGCGCAGCATCCGTGCTTCGCAGAGAGAGGCCCCAGAAATGCACCTTGACCTTGGTAACCCACAGGATTACTGTTCCAGATTTAAAAAAAAAAAAAAAGGGTGGGGGGAGCGAAACCCGGGCCTGGTGACTTATGCCCACCATGCGTGCACTCGCAAGCCGAGGCAGGGGGATTACTATGAATTCAAGGCCTGCTCTGGGTTATAGTGTGAGACCCCGTCTACAAGACAAAACAAAACAGCGGGAACGCTGATGGCCTGGTTAAAGTTGTATAGAGGAACATTACTCACCCCATAAAGGGAAGCCGCCGGTGTTCTCTGTTGTTCACAGATCTTTCTGGACAAAGAGGAGGGGTCACTTATACCTAGATGAGTTTTGTTGAAACCCTTAGAAGTCTTTGACTACTTAATCTTCTGACCCCTTAGGAACAAGCTTCTGGAAACGGAATTATTTCGGTAGGTTGTTTAGCGACTTTTGGTCATTCTGAGCAAGGTGGTTTGTGCGCGCACGAAAGCTCTAAGGGAAAGTACTTCGATGGCGCAGGATTGAGCAAAGCGGCCCCCAAATGGAATTCTGAATAACGTGCCTGATTATCTAGAACACAAATAATTTTGTGGTCTGGCCCAGGAGAATGTGGAGCCCGCTCTGAGTCCTGTGATCCTCTGCGAGCACAGCGCCTTGTTTAGTCTCCAGCTAGAGCTAAATCCCTTGGTCCCTGGGAAACCGGAGGCCGGTGATTGCCCTCTGAGAGTTCAGGCCCAGGCAGCCGCTGCGTTGCTGCGGATTGCCAGCGCTGCTCCCCGTGATAAGAGTGACATAAATAACAACTCACTAAAATGTAGGAGTGGTTCGCGCTAAGCACTTCAGCACCTGCTGTTACTAATTAAGGGTTTAGACCGCCACCGACTGCAGATGGAAATCTAGCGCTTTAAAATGGTAGAGACTGCAGTGAGTGCCCTGAATAATGCCGCAGCCAGAAATGAGCCGGAGGAGATAAGGACATTGGTGATGATTCGAGTTATAAAACTGCCCATAATTAAAGGACGAGCGGCAGGGCGTTAATAAGCCACACCCCAAGAGAGCGTGGGATTTCATTTTCACTTCTTTTTTTTTTTTAATTTCCCAATGAATATGTATTAGTTAAAATGCACTAAGCAATTCGTACAGGAAAAAAAAAAAGGCTGTCAAATGAAATCTAGCCGATTGTGTTCTTAGGTGGAAATCCTAGACGTGTTTTAAAAGGCAGTTTTGCAAAGGAGACCATGCCAGAACTTTCCATTCTTTTCGTTATTGGCCTGTTGCCTGTGTTCAGATGTTACACCATCAACAAGATACTGAGTCAGCATTCAGATGTATGCTAATTGTACTGTATTTGCTAAATTTACATTACTGGATAAGCGGACTTGAGTGGCACGTCAAGTGCTTTGATCTGTGTGACATTGGCTGACACTCTGAGTATGTTGTGGCTCTGGTTTTGTAGGTCAGGAAAAGAAGCCTTTGGCAAGAGGGCCAGCCACATCTTTCTAGAACTGCTTTGTTTTGTACTGTGTGTGTCTCACTCAGCACATAGCATTTGCAGACCTCAGGCTCCTCCACAGAGCGTGGCTTCCCTTGCTGCTCCTTCCCTCACACCCCAAGGCTCCTCCCCATGTCTTTGTCCCTTACAGCTCTTGACTTTGCTCCACATGAATGATAGATTCTGGGGACTCTGGGAGGGAGGGGGCTGGGGGGAAATTCATGCGGTCAGAACATCAGGTGCCACCAAGGACAAGGCAGCTGCTTTTGTTCTCAGAGCCTGTGACTCACGCAGTGGGGACAACATTTTCCACTGCCTACCCTGAATGCACACCCCTGTAATTCTTTCCTAGCCTCTCAGCTTGAAATGACACTGTGTGTGTGTGTGTGTGTGTGTGTGTGTGTGTGTGTGTGTGTGTGTATGTGTGTGTGGTGTGTGTATTGTGCTCAGGTTTGGCGTTTAAGGAAATATAGATGTGTTTACTGTGCACGAGGGCCCTGGCGCTGTGAGCTTGCCCTTCGGGTACAGGTCGTGACTCTTTTACTTAGAACCAGTGTTGGTGCCTGGACCCAAGAGGCAGATTCTGGCTCTTGCCCTGAAGCCTTTGTTCTGTTGGCCCCACATCAGATGTTGGGAATGGGCTGGTAACCAAGGCTCCCGCTCTCTTCTGTATTCCAAGGGTTGTGAGCCCTGCTGTCTGCACCACGGAGAAGGTGTGGAAAGGCCTGTGCAGGGGACGCTTGGCTGTGCAGGGGCCTCCCAGCACTGCCTCTGCCCAGTAGGAGGGCTCCGTACATACCTTTGGGGGCAGTAATTATCAAGCCCAATTAAGCAGGAGCACAAAGCGGTGAGATGTTTGAGAAGACAAACAGAACTAAAATTCCTAATAGAAAATTTTACAAATTATCCCCAGCCCTGGCTCCCTGGCTTATACCTATTTTCAGTGTCATTATTCATACCACATTGCTTTATACTCAAATGGCTCAGTGAAAGAAAAATTACTATATTAAGGTAAAAGAAAAATTAGGGGGCTGGAGAGGTAGGCAGCGGCTTTGTTGGTAAAGTGCTTGCAGCTCAAACAGGAGAACTCAAGTTTGGCACCCGGTACCCACATAAACGCCAGATGCAGCAGCAGCAGCAGCAGCAGCAGCAGCAGCAGCATCCATCTGCTTGGCCAGAGGGCGTTGAGACAGGGAGATCCCTGGAGCTTGTTGGCCAGCCAGGCTAGTCCAGTGGCTGAACCCAAGTTCAGTGAGAGACTTTGCCACAAAACCTAAGATGGAGAGTGGCTGAGGAAGACACTTGACACCCACCCACCCACCACATGCACAGGTAGATACCACATACACATGCACCTTATACACACACATTCCAGATACACATACCACACACATCCAACACTATACCTTCACACACCACACCACATACACACCACGTAAGAGCATACAACGTATATATAACACACACACACACACACACAACATACGTACCACATAAACAGATTCCACCTAACACACCACATACATACAACATCACACATACACCTTATACACACACATTCCAGATACACATACCACACACATCCAACACTATACCTTCACACACCACACCACATACACACCACATAAGAGCATACAACGTATATATAACACACACACACACACACACACAACATACGTACCACATAAACAGATTCCACATACATACCACATCACGCATACACTCCACAGACACATTTATATAATCATTTTATGGTTACCCTATCTGTAGCAGATTATATTAGCATATTGGCAGTTGCTTCAACTAAACACATTATTTAAACAACAACAACAAAAAAAAACCAACAAAACCATAACCCTCTTGGAATCAATTCTCATAACCACTATCACTGTTATAGCAGCCTTCATCTTTGGGCAGGGGGTCTCAGGAAAGTGCTGGAATAGAATTAATCATGTGATGCAGTATTGTTGTCCAGCTCTAGTACTGACCTGACCTACGACTGACCTATGGTGTGGTTTTCAAATGAAGTGAAACCGATCACAAGGGCCTCTAGATTCACCCTGGGTCTCTATAGTTTCCAGGAGCTGAGACAGGAGGATTGAGTGTTTGAAACCAGCCTAGGGAACATACCAAGGCTGTGTCTCAAATAATTAACGAAATAATTATTTTTAAAGGAAAATGTTATGGTATGTTTTGAAAATGATAGGGTTCAAGGAAAACAGAAATATGTTTGGTAAGGTAGACTGATGTCAGTTTTCAAGCAACAGCAACACATTAAGGAGTGGACATTTTTCATCCTTTCTGATGTTGGTGGAGCAGGTGAGTGAGACTGGCCCCTGCCGGTGGATTGAACATAAAGACTTCCTCCACCTCCTCTGTTCTCAACTCCACAGCGGGAGGCACTTTTGAAATAATGAAGCCTCTAGCAAGTAAATAGCACTGGAGAAGAAAGGGGAGGGGCAAGTCTACATTAAAACCTAAGAAGACCCCCACCCCACCCCCAGTGCTGTGCGTGGTTCCGACACAGAAGCCTCTCTCAGAACCTAAAATCCACAGTCAGACAGCTAGAGGATGACAGGCTCAAATGTCCACTACAGAGAAGAGCGACAGCTTTGCCGACAGGGAGAGAGGAGATGCTGAGATGAAACGGATTAGCGAGGGACAGGAACAAAGGTCCACACCTGTGCGGAGGGCGATCCCCTGGTGTGGAAGCGGCTGCATGCGGAAACCCTGCACTTAGCTCGGTCATCTGACCGGAGTGAGGATGCTTTTAACTCTAGGCTAGGCCTGTGAACGGCTCTTACAGAAAATGAGCTGCACGTGGGACCGAGGCTCCCAGCGTGGGTAATTTCCAGTCCTCTGTGTGGCCAGGAACGGGCACAACCCCACCCTCGCTGCTCTTCAGTCTGTTTTCCATTTTCCTGCTCCCTAACACTGGACCCAAATCAGTTTCCGCTAAAGGAAGCCACCGCTGGGGACATTGACCGCTACTCAGTCCTCGGTTTGTAAGTTTCTCTAAGGAAAGCTTCCCGGATGTAGGCAGGTGCAGTCGTACAGGTGCGCAGCTTTACCCGGCACACATTGTGAGCCTGCTTTACTGTGAGTGTTGGGGTCCTCTCCCAGTTCACATCCTGACACCCCACCACAAGGTGTTGGCAGTAGGAGGGGGAGCTGTTCCGAGGTGATGAGGTCACTAGGGTACTTCTGCCATCAAGAATAAGATTAGTTCCTGTAAAAGAGGCCCAACGTTGACCCATCAGCCCTTGCGCCACGTGAAAGCACTCTGACTGAGATGTTCCTTTCTGTGAACCAGGAATCATGTCCTCACTTGACGCTGGATCTGCCAATACCTTAATCTTGGACTTTTCCAATCTCCAGAGTGACAAGGAAGAAATTAGTTTGTTCATAATCACCCTTGTTTTGGTACTCGTAAAAGAGCGAGCTGAAGGGGCCAGGACAAAGAGAATAGAAACACGTGTTTGAATTCTCATGTGCAGAGCTGGGGAGATAGCATGGTTGGTGAAGTGCAAACGTGCAAGCATTAGGCCCCTAGCCTCTGTGTGAAGACCAAGCATATCTGCTCCTCCCTTTGGGAAGAGACAGAGGGCCCCTGGAACTCACTGGTCAGCCACTTCCGGCAAATCTTTGAGCTCCAGATTCAATTAGAGACTCTGCCTCAAAAAGTAAGATGGAGAGAAACAGAGAAAGAAATCCCATGCAGACTTCTGCCGACCACCTGCAGGAAGACACATGTGCAATCACACGTGAACACATTGCAGGCGTGGCTGCATGGTCATGTAATTCTAGCCCTGGGGAAGTGGAGATATGGGGTTCCTGGCCAGCTAGCCTGTCATACTGAGAAAACTCCAAGCCCAGCAAGAGACCCGGTCCTGACAAAGAGGGTAGGCACTGCTGGAAAGTGACACTCAAGGTTGTCCTTGACCTACACACACACACACACACACACACACACACACACACACACACACACACACGCACACGCACCCACACAGACACATACACACACACATACACACACAAATACATGCACACATACACACACATATACATATACATATACACACATACACACACATACATACACAAGTCAAATTCTAATTTGTATCTTCAGAGAAGCTATCACTTTCTAAAAGTAACAGGTTATGAAAACACCAAAAATATAAAACCTTAAAAATTCACAATTAAATTCAGTACTTTTTAAAGGACTGTAGGCCGAGAAAGCAATCTAATCTATCACAGAGAAATGGATAAAAAGAATCACCCTGTGGTTTCTAACATGTCACAGAAGATTCCCGGGGAGAGAAAGAAAACAGAGAGAAAACGTGATCCCTGATTGAAGAAATACCATCCGTTTCCATAGCTAATAATAAATGCTTCTACTGAGATACTGTCAGGACACAGAATATAAAAAAAATACCATAAAGTCACCCAAAGAAAGGAAAGTCGCTTGGTGTTTTCGACAGCCACTCTGGATATCACAAGGTGATGGACCGTCATCTTCAAAATTCAGAGACACCGTGGTTTTTGACCTGGACCAGCTGGCGCTGACTTGTGAGAACGCAGTGACAGCGTTTTCAGGCTAGAAGAATCTCCTGAGCCCGTACTGAAATTCAATAAAATGGACCCCAGGAAGAAGCAGATAGGAGCCACCAGGAACAGTATGAATCAAAGAAATGGCCACAAAAACCATTACATGTAAATATTAATTATAAATAGAACAGGTAGAATGAAGTCTTAAATTCCAGGCATTCCCAGTGGAAAGGCATGGCGGATGCGGGAGAGGGTAATAGTCACGTGGAGGGTGCTGCCTTGTGTGCAGAGAGGCAAGGGTCCACCCGTCAACCTATGGTTTGCAATGTGGCCAAGGATGGCTATGGATGAGGCCCAACACACATCATAAACTCACTTAAAACATTATGAGGTGGTTTTGTATAATTGTTTTGCCTGCATGTATGTATGTGCGTCTGTGTGTACCTGGTACCTGTGATGGCTAGAAAAGGGCACCAGATCCCTTGGAACTGTCCTCAGCAACCGCTGTAAGCCATCACTAAGGGTGCAGGGAACGAATCTGGGTCCTCTGCGAGAGTAGCCAGGGTCCTTAAAACTACTGGGCCATCACTCTAGCAACAAATTTTTATTTGTTATCTGGAATGTGTTTTTAGCGAAATAAATAATGTGGGACTCACCAATTTGGCTTTCTCACAAAATACAGTTTCCAGCAAGTAAGTCCAATTAAGAAACTGGATCATAACCTTACCTGTTAGTGGAACAAGAGAGGTTTAGAGGGAAAACACACTCTCCAGGCCTTAGAGGGCAGGATCTTAACAAAGTAGCAAGATGCTGAGCCCAAGCCTAGCCCTGGCATGGGGTTGGGGGGCAATGAAGAACTTCCTGACCTCCAGTGTTCAGGGGCAGCTGCCAGCTCCCTGAGTTATTTCTCACTCATGTTTGTTATGTAGTAATTACATGTGACCTCTGCTTCCTTCCCTCTCTTTCAGGGGAAACTAGACCTTCTGCTGGTTGGAGATGCCACAAGGTACTTCCTGACTGGCTCTATACAGAAATTCTTTTCCAGCACCGCACACTTCACCCTGACCGTCAGCGATGTGAAGAAGGTAGCCTCGCTTTTGGCCGCAAACTCTTTCGACATCATCTTCTTGAAGGTGACTTCCACCTTAACCGCGGAGGAGCTGGAGGCTGTCAAGTCCATTCGGTAAAACTTTTCCAGTCTTGACTCTGTGTATTTAAAATCGCCATTCAAACCCGTTTCTTAAATCTGCAAGATACAATATATTGATATCATGGACATAAATTTTGTCCACTTTAAGTTTTAAAATGGAGCACATCTTCATGGGTAGGAGCTGTTTTCGTGGCCAGCTTGACATGCTATTGTAAGAACTCACATTTCAACCTGAGAAGGAATAGGTATGAGTGAAATTTATTTGGTTTATAATGCTGATGTTGGTCCCATCGATATGCTTTTTTAAAATAACTGTCATTTAAAATGGCACATCTTTTCCGAGTTTATTGAGAGTTATGGTGGATAGTAAAGCAAGCACCCCAAGCTCTGTGTGGAGTTGGCAGTGGCCAGAATCTATTTCTGGGGTGTGATGAGGCTCCTGGGATCTGACAGATCCTACCACCTCAGACATCCCCATTGCATCTTAGAGCTCTGTAAAAGCTCAGCTTCTTCAAGCCCGAGCTGCTTTCAGAGAAATGGAGTCCCTCGGAGGGAGAGTTACCTTTCTCCCTGCGGGATCACATGGGCTCTTGAACCACTCAGGATGTGTTTAAACAGGGTTAGGGCTGAACAGCTTGGTTCTCCCGTGGAAAGAGCGGATGGAGAAAGTGGGATCAAGATATCCCAGGACAGGCCCTTGTAGGCTAATGGAGAACTTTTGGGGACTCCCTTACGATGCCTGAGTGGGAATATGCAAATTACATTAGGGGACCAGACAGGCTGAGAGGCAGAAAGAAGACTAAGCCACTCAGTTACCTGTTAGTGGGAAACAGGAGATGGATGCCACTACCAGGCTACCTGGAGCACCTGGACTCTGCCCCTCCCTTTCACTAAAAGCATTTTTCTGCAAGGGGCTTGAACACAGACTGATTTGGGTATTCCTGGGAGACTCTGGAGCCAGCCTCCTAGAGATGCTTAGGAATAAGTCTATGATAAAATATGGAATATAGAGTAATATACATTCACTTTTACATACACTAACAGTATAATGCAGAGGTTCTTAGTTAGGTTTTTATTGCTATGATAAATACTATGATCAAAGCAACTTGGGGAGGAAAGGGTTTATTTCAGCTTCCTGATAGTAGTCCATTGTGCAGAGAAGTCAGGGCAGGCACTCAAGGTAGGATCTAGTAGCTTTGGAGGACTGCTGCTTACTGGCTTGCTCCCCATGGCTTGCTCAGCCTGCTTTTTTTTTTTTTTTT